AATTAAACCTAAAATAGGAAAGGATAAATATAGAACCTAGTTTGGGTATATGTCTATTTTATCTTGTCTTTGAAATTAAAACAATGAGGAGGAAAAATGAATCAAGCCTTTATCAAAATATGATTAGTCAAGAATGCAATCTCCAATTCTAAATGAAAAGATAACAAGAAATAAATTTTGCTTAATGAAACAATAAATAAAGAATATGAATCTAAAAGAATTAAATTTAGTATCGTTGAAGTATAACCCTTAAGATTGGTGTTTAAATTTCAAGTGCCTAGAATTACTAAATAAAAACTATCATAAATTTATTGAGCATAGTAATTAAATTAAGAAGCAAATAAGTAGGGATGGATGATTAAATTATGGAAGAAGATGACCACAATCATATTATCAACTAGAACATTTGCAATGAGATAATAAGCGAAGAGAGACCTTGGAGAAATATGACTCAGCTACAAGCATTTCAATTTGTACTGAAATTAAGGAATAAAGAAAATAGAATAAAAAAAAATATATATATAAAAGTACAAAAATGCTCTTTTCCAATTAATTTATTTTTTCACAATAGTCATCATGGAAAACAGTATGGGGAGAATCATTAATGTAATTGACCTTTACTATAAGACTCAGACTCAGATTTATCTAAATTCTAAAATTTTTCATTTTCAATAACAGCAGACATATAATGATACTACTTTTCTAAATTAATAATTTTAGTTTTGAAGATAGTATAATTTACCTATTCTATTTGATTCGCTAAAACCATCATGAGAAATATTTACTAATCAATTTTCGTCTCAAAGTTGTTATCAAATGGTATATTTTTGTTTAATCTGATTAACATTTATATTAAAATTTTATGATGCATTCTTATTTTTTCTTATCTAATGAAGATATTAGTAATTTGATTGTAAATTGGTAGGGCGTTATCAATTAGCATATCTTGATTTTCAATGCAGATGATATTGAATTACAAAGATACTACTGAATTTTAAGTCCAGGAAGATGCAATTAATCTAAAATCTTACATTGAATGATAAAATAAGCACTGCATTATCAATTGTTATTTGTCAGTCTGTAAAAGATGAATGTGTTTTTTAAAATATATTTAATCGAAATTGCTGTAATAAAAATTAATGAAAATAAATTAAAATGTTCTAAAATAGGAATATTAAGATAAATTTGTAGTAATGATGAATATACTTTATTTGTATGGGTGATTTGTGTTATACTCCCATAATTATTTTTTGATTTAATATTTTATTTTAGAGAATTATTATTTTTGATTGCCGAATAAAAAAGATGATTCATAATTTAACAAATTATAGTGGTTATGTAAGGAAATGTTGCCAATCAAAAGAAATATAGAAAAATGATGAATAAGGAATTTTAAAATAGAAATACATTAATGGTTAGGATTAATATCCTAACCATTATAGTTGATATTCATTAAATACCTATCATAATCAGACATATACTGTCCACTCCAAAGTATGAAGAAGTTAAAAATGCCTGTTTAGAAAATAGAGTAAAATGGAGACCTAAGAAGACAGGTGAAAAGTTGCAATTGAATTATAAATAGAATTAAAATTATCTACAAATTTAGATAATNGAATCTAAAAGAATTAAATTTAGTATCGTTGAAGTATAACCCTTAAGATTGGTGTTTAAATTTCAAGTGCCTAGAATTACTAAATAAAAACTATCATAAATTTATTGAGCATAGTAATTAAATTAAGAAGCAAATAAGTAGGGATGGATGATTAAATTATGGAAGAAGATGACCACAATCATATTATCAACTAGAACATTTGCAATGAGATAATAAGCGAAGAGAGACCTTGGAGAAATATGACTCAGCTACAAGCATTTCAATTTGTACTGAAATTAAGGAATAAAGAAAATAGAATAAAAAAAAATATATATATAAAAGTACAAAAATGCTCTTTTCCAATTAATTTATTTTTTCACAATAGTCATCATGGAAAACAGTATGGGGAGAATCATTAATGTAATTGACCTTTACTATAAGACTCAGACTCAGATTTATCTAAATTCTAAAATTTTTCATTTTCAATAACAGCAGACATATAATGATACTACTTTTCTAAATTAATAATTTTAGTTTTGAAGATAGTATAATTTACCTATTCTATTTGATTCGCTAAAACCATCATGAGAAATATTTACTAATCAATTTTCGTCTCAAAGTTGTTATCAAATGGTATATTTTTGTTTAATCTGATTAACATTTATATTAAAATTTTATGATGCATTCTTATTTTTTCTTATCTAATGAAGATATTAGTAATTTGATTGTAAATTGGTAGGGCGTTATCAATTAGCATATCTTGATTTTCAATGCAGATGATATTGAATTACAAAGATACTACTGAATTTTAAGTCCAGGAAGATGCAATTAATCTAAAATCTTACATTGAATGATAAAATAAGCACTGCATTATCAATTGTTATTTGTCAGTCTGTAAAAGATGAATGTGTTTTTTAAAATATATTTAATCGAAATTGCTGTAATAAAAATTAATGAAAATAAATTAAAATGTTCTAAAATAGGAATATTAAGATAAATTTGTAGTAATGATGAATATACTTTATTTGTATGGGTGATTTGTGTTATACTCCCATAATTATTTTTTGATTTAATATTTTATTTTAGAGAATTATTATTTTTGATTGCCGAATAAAAAAGATGATTCATAATTTAACAAATTATAGTGGTTATGTAAGGAAATGTTGCCAATCAAAAGAAATATAGAAAAATGATGAATAAGGAATTTTAAAATAGAAATACATTAATGGTTAGGATTAATATCCTAACCATTAATCAGACATATACTGTCCACTCCAAAGTATGAAGAAGTTAAAAATGCCTGTTTAGAAAATAGAGTAAAATGGAGACCTAAGAAGACAGGTGAAAAGTTGCAATTGAATTATAAATAGAATTAAAATTATCTACAAATTTAGATAATAATTCTGCAATTTTAGATTATAGATTTAGAGAGCTCAAAACTAATCATGTATAATTTAAAGAGCATAATCCTAGCCTTCAATATTCTCACTTCGAATTCTTTATGAATAAAACTTCAGATGCTTAAAGTTTATAGTAATAATGAGGAATTATTGGTAAAATTTGATCCATCCAAAGTTTCATCCCTTATGGTACTGCATCTTTGCATTATAATTAGGGCACTTTCTCTTTTCTCAATGATTGATTTGCTCTTCCAATAATTTCTTACTATCTCTAGCTTGAAACAAATGTAAGAAAAGATGAGCTATTATTTTATTTCAATCAAATGAGTGATATTTTTAAAAGCATCATTCACTGATGTGCTATATAAAAAATTCAATATCAAAGTTATCATTTTCCTCTCTGGCTTCTATCCAATAATACGTTATTAGTTTAGATATAAATAGTAAATCAAATTATTAACAAGGGAGCGTCCAGCAGGATAGGATTTTCTTATCTAGATTCAGAGTAAGTGTGAGAACATAATGTATCTCTTATCATATTTCTTATAGATGTGTAAAGGGGTCATAACGTAATTTTTGTTGTCGATTTGTTACTGGATGTGGCATTTCGGCTGTGGAATTTTACCAGCTCTAGTCCTACTGTAGGACTAAAATATGTTTGATATAGAGTTACACTGGAGAACAACCAAAGAGTATTAAATCATTAGCCTCGGTAAATATGAATTCTGTCTAGATCTCGTGCAAGTGTTGGCTTCAGCATCTTGAATAATTAACAAGACCTTTAGCACATATTTGAAAATATATTGGCTTATTGATTTGTATTTTAGTACAACATAATAGACTTTGAATTTCAGTCATAAATTAAGTTCAAGAATTATCACAAATGCTCTAGGAGTTGAAAATCTTTAAAATTTTAATTGAAAAATTTTGCGATTGAATCCGTTAATATTATCTTCTTCAAATCGATAAAAATAATTTCAGAAATGTTTTAGCTGTATCAATTTATTATTTGAAATATTAACAAAAGATTTAGCAAAATTATAAATTTAAAAATTGGAGATAATTATGATTAAATTTAAGTGAAATATTTTTATGCCAAGAAAATTGAATTTGACTTTAGTGTTCTTAATTGCTTGATTTCTTAGATTTTAATCAAGAATAATTCTAATTATAATTTCAAGAATTCTTGAATAAAACAACTATTGAAATATTTTCAATGATAATAAAGCACTTTAAATTTTGATTAATTAATCTTTATTGAGAACTTAATTATAACATATAAAATAATATGACCTTTGCTATTTTTGCTGATTTTATGAGCACTAATCTTTGGAAGTTAACCTTTTGGTAGCTATTATATGATTCTAAAAAAATGAATCTAAACGATATTTTATGAATTGCTTTGCGATAATACATAATTTTCATTTATTTTTTTGATTATTTAAACTAATTTATTTGTAAGGTGGAAATAAATATTAATGCATTGATAAAATGGAATCTGTTTAATTTGGAACTTTGATTTTATTCCACTCCAGCAAAAACAAGAAAGATACATTTATTTATTGTTAGAATTATTAAGAATCTTCCCTATGGGGACAGTTTTAGAAAAATAAATATCAAAAATTGAAGACTTATATGTAATTAGCATAAAAGAAAATTCTAAGAGCATATGACAAGAATGTTAATAGTTAGGAGAAAACCGATATTCTCCATAGAATTAAGGTAATTTAGGATAATATTCTTTTATCAACTCCTTTTAGACACCTGAACTGTATTTTGACATATTTTTGAAATCTTTAGGAAATATATAAGAAAATAAATAAGATATAAGACAAATTTAAATATTTAGGTGCAAAATAGCAAAAAGTGTTTAAATAAGCATAATTCTAATATGTTAAAATAAACTTATTGCTTAAGTAATTGTCAAATCCTTCCATTCATTGGACAAACGAAGATCACAGTTATGAATCAAATTAAATGCTATTAAAAAAAACATAACTTTTAAATCAAACACTTATATTGTGGTAATGACATATATAAGTATTCACTTTTTATTTTTAATTCCATAATTAAACGTTTAAATTTATCTTAAACTGATTGGCAATATAAGATTGCCTACTCATAATTCTTTAGAGATGAAGAGTAATTCTTGATTTTTGTTAATACATCCCCTATTACAATCAAGACATTTCAAACCTTTATTAAAATAGGCACTTGCATCTTTTGAATCTATTTGAATTGCTTTATCATAGCAAACAATTGCATCAATATTTTAGTAAAGATTTTCTAATCAACCTATTTGTATTGTAAGGCAATACCTAATAAAATCAAAATATTTCAAACCTTTATTATTATAGGCCATTGCATAATTTGGATCTAGTTGGATTGCTTTGTCATAGCATACAATTTCATCTTTATATTTCCACTCTTCCCCTAAGGAATACCCTAATACTTTAACAAATAATAACACCTTTCTTTAAATAACCAATACAATACTTTGGATGAAATTTTAGAGCTATTTCAATACACAGAATCGCTTATGAATATTGTTTCAAATCATCTAAAGAATAGCCTTTTTGTTATATAAATGATTACTTTTTCTATACAAAGCGTGAAGATGTTAAGGATCCTCTCTTAAAACCTTGTTGCAGAACTCAATAGCCTATTGAAATTAGTTTTCTTCGTTTAATGCATAGCCTATGTAAATTAAATATCTCAATTACTTTTTGCAATAAAAATAAATGTATTTTCTTGTGTTTTCCTTAATTCTTGATCTGAATAGTCTAATGGATCTCCATACAAGTTGTTATTAATCTTTTTCGCCTATTCTCTCAAAATTCTTCCTTATCCTGTTAGTTCATTTCAATTATAAAAAATAGAATCATTTAATTTATAAACAAATACCTAATTATATAATCAAATAATTTTAAAGAATACTCCCAATGATTATTGTTTCTCTGCTAATTTTATGCATTAGGTAATTTTTTGATTAGCCTCCTGCCGTTTCTACTAATCTAGTATGATTACTTTTTTGATTCATTTAAATTAATTATATTCCTAATTTAATTTTAACCACTAGAATACCTTAGTTGAGTATATTTTCATTATCTTATTTAATATCTAATTTGCATTATTATCCTTTATCTAAATCCAATGCTTAAACCACTAATTTTATTCTAACTAGTTAAGTTCCTATAAATAATACTAATATAAAATACCAATTTAATTCTACTTCATAATCTCCTCTTAATTGTTTAAATATTGATACAATTCTTTTATCACTTACAAGTTGGCTTTCATTTATTAATAATGTTATTGACTTAAACATTCAGATATCTTCACTAATTATGTTTGCATATTCTCCAATTATTTTTAGAATTCTTCATATTTTATTTTCACTTATGCAAAGGATTTGTTCAATTATGTTGCTAAATCAAGTATATTCTAATGAAATTTCTTGATAAGACTTTAAATTTAACCAAATCCTTTTAGATCTTTTTTGCAATTAGAATGCAGAGTAAAAATTTTCAGAACTTCAATTTATTTTTAAATTTCAACATGTTGATAATCTTATGGAATTATTCATTCAGGAAAGGATTTATGTATATATATAATTTAAACAACTAACTAAAATCATGAATATCATTCGCCTTGATTTTCCATTTCTTATTATGTTATTAGATTAAGATAAATAAAAAAGATAAAATATTTTGGCTTACTTCCTATATCATAATTTAAACCAATTATCGAAATAGAATTTTTAAATTCATAACTTATAGAAAAAGAATAATTAAAAAAGTCAAGAAAGAGTCTGCCTGTGATTAATTAAATTCAATATCATCTGAGACACCTACCTATAAATCTAGGGTCGTGTCTGAATACTTGATTCAGATAATGTTAAAAATTTGTTCATTGAGAAGGAAATACCTAAGAATGATATTAGTTGAACTTCTATTAAAAAGATTTAAAGAATGCTGGTAGACAATCAAAGAAAAGGGCATGGATAATATAGGTAAAATAAATTAATAAAGATGAAAAATCTATTTGAAACAGATTATGCATAGAATAGCATTACATTAACTGTAAACATAAATTCTAGATAGCTTAATTAATAAGCTGTATCTAGAGATTGTAAGCGTAGTAATAAACAAATAGGTTGAAATACAATTCTAGAATTATATAGGAACCTAACAGTATTTATTATTATTTAAGAAGTTACAGAGGAGTAACTAATTGAATCTCTAAACGAGTATGATTATATTAAAATATAAAATGAACTCCACTAGACCTATTTGCCAAATAATAGGGAACCAATTTTAAAGAAAATTCTAATATTTGAACTTGATGAACGTAAGAGTGACTAATACTGTAGGCTTTTGCTATTCACAAATATTGTGATGGAGAGAGCCTATATTCTATTAACATATATCCTAACATGATTTAGCTCATAAATTAGAGCTTTTAATTTGAATTCTTATTTTAGATTCTCAATAGGAAGCCACTACCCTTACTATATAAGAATTGATAATGGAAACACAAATTATTTGAACTTTAATACAGATACCTCAATCAAAGGAGAAATGAATGATTTAATAAGATAAGGTATGACATCAAGTAATATAAGTATTGTGGATTTAAGGTTATTGATAAGGATTATACAATATCAATCAAGAATTTGCTTAATATAAAAAAACTTCAGATTAAGAATTATCCATCTGGGGAGTTTGCGATATGACTATAATTTTAATAAGAATGAAGAATGTCATAGTGATTACATTTTTTGGTAACAAGTAAACAAATTAATAATGAGCAGTAGGCAATATCTGAAGAGAACTAAGCAAAGGAAAAAAAATTCTCAGTCGGAATTATGGATGAGCTAAGAATATTTTGACCCTTATTTCTCTATTTTTCTAATTCAAGGACAGCTTCGATTACTCGTGCATTGCATGCAATGATTTAAAAAACTAGAATCCGTAATCAGTATCCCGATATAACTTAAGCAACTTATTAATCTAGAAGAGGGTGATTGAAACTCAGTATATATCCATACTAAGCCATGGTTGAAGACAAAAAGAAAGGGAATCATCATGTCAACTTAAGAAATCCATTTTATCATTAAGATATTTAAATTATTAATTGAGGAATTAGATAAATAAGGATAATGAAATAATGAATTTAATAGATCATTTAATTTTAACTTTGGAATTTCTCATATGGACACATGGATATAAATCTTAGGATGTATCAATTTGCGTGATCAAATGTATAATCATATTTACTAAATAATCTTGTGAACTAAATTTAGACCATTTATTATTTTTGTTCTATACTCACTTCCATTATCACTATATCATTAACTTAGAATTTAAATGCTTACCCTTAAGTATTATTTGACTGATGAAAATATGTAGAACCCTATTCTCTTAATAAATATGATCTAAATTATAATCAATCTGATTTAATACCCTTTACCTTAACCTTCCTCTCTATACCCATTTTATTTAATCATTTCTCTAAATCCAATTCCAACTTCACACCATCCACTAATTCTATGAATTTCAAATTCAAACCGTGTTTAGCCTATTTTTGGAATCACTTTCTCACACATACAATAATGTTTTCTAGAGTTTGTAACTCTGAATCCTTTTAGATAATTTTCTGATTTAATGATTATTCTAATTAGTTTTCTGTTTAATAACATAAATATTAATACATGAATCTTTTTATTTCTTTATTAAATTTACTTTATCTTATTCAAATTATTTTTTTAAACTAATATTATCTTAATTTAGTTGATCAAATTATTTTTTTATATTTTAATATTCTATTTCCTTCCCTTCCAACTTATTATTTATATCAATAATTTTTTAATCAAACTCCATTTAGTTTTGAATTATTTAGTTATTTTCTATTAATAAAGAATAAGATTACTTTCTAATTCTAATCTTAATAATTTTTTTTAATATTTGATTAAATCATTTTCTACTTATTAAATATTGCAATACTTCTTCAATTATTTACTATTATTCTCAAAATTATTTAGATAATCATTTGAATATTTTTTAGAGACTCGAATATTAAGATTTGATTAATAATTGTGATTCATCTGTTGTTTTAGATTAAATACTTTATTAAATTTATGTAATTTTTTAGATATGCTCTTAATAAAATGTGATAGTCTAATCAAATAAATTCAATTAACATTAAAATTTCTTAGCCTAATCAATGATAAGTTCGATTTCAGATATTAAACTAATTTTATCATTTTATGCTGATTTAGAAATTTATGAAATCATATCAGATAATTAAATTATTAAATTCCTTTCTACTATTAAAACTAAATAAATTAATTGATATGCCTCCGATAATATTCAATTGTTATCTCGCATATTTGTCAGATCTCAAATATAATGCTCGAGGAGGGATGACTTAATTAGTAGCCCTGGTATAGTATGATGAAGCGCGAAATATATTGAACACCACTTGTGATAAACTCTTTACAACATGTTTAATATATAATATAAGTATTCCTGTTTTTATTAAGAAATATTTTGGGAAAAAAACTATAACACTATATCCACAAGAGTTGGACAAGATTTTAGCTAAGTATCACAATCACATACTCAAAGAAACATAAATGCTACTGGAGTTAGAAAAATTGCAAATTGCCTAGGAACAATTTGAAATTATAATAATGATAATATGAAATGCCAAAATGATTAGAAGTTGATTGTTTTGTATTACTTTATAGAGTTTAATTCAAAAGTTTTAAATATAGATCATTATTTGAGCATTTAACCCTTAAACTTGAGGAGAATCATGTTGAACAAGCTGGAAAAGTGTTTGATCATCTTACATATATGATGAAACTCACAAAAAGCTGGAGATCCACTTCTCCTAATTATAAACGCCAAGATTTCTGCAGCACTTGTGAATCTTTATTTACTGGAAATTTAATCAGTAGCATTAGCTTTCATTTTATACAACAATCACAGTACATAGAAAAAAACAGGTGTAAGCAACACCAGGATAGTGAACCATGCAGTTGTGCATTCAATTAATTAAGGAGGCAATTAAATCGTATAAAAGTATATCCAGAAATGTAAAATTGACATACTTCTTGAATAAAAATTTTCTTATATTTTAACAAATTGTTTTGGAGTAGAAAAGTACATAGTTAAATGCTACTACTTTCTTCAACACTAATAATGTAAGCAATCAAAATATAATAAAAGTAATCTCAAGAACTGATCAATAAACAATTTCTTTTATAAGATTAAAAGTCATTACACAAAAAGCAAATTTACTTTAGAAAGTTTGCAGTAACCTACTAATATCTCAATCTTTAGAAGCAGAAGTAACAGTATAAGAATTGGAATATTAAATGCATGAAGTGCCATAATAATTATAGTAATTTAAACCTAGAACTGGTGAAGTCACTTAATTATGCTCATACTGAACCATATTTCATTATAATATGCTGAATATTAGTTTAGAGAAGGTTAAACATTATTATTTAAAATACTGCCAATTCAAAATATTAATAACTTTTTTCAACAATTTAGAATGCTATTTTGAATATGGACTATTTAGAAATTGGAATAGGAATTAAGTATTAAATACTAGAATCTCCATAAAAACCTCTATTTATTTTGTGCATATAGAAAAGGGTGCATGATGCCTGGAGAGAAATCCTAGAAGTCCTCCATCTTTTCTACTGAAGGTTACATTGCATTCATTTGTGCTATTTATAATCCGAAAAATAGCACATGCCAATATCAATACTGGCTACAAACAACATATTTATTCCTTATATTGAGGCTCACTTCAGCAGCATTACAAGAGCATCAAGAAGAATTTAGGAAGGCGTCATCACATATTTACAAGCAAAGCATTTTTCAGCACTCATAAGCTAAGTATTAAGGCTCTACATAACTACGATAGCCGAGCAGTCAATTCATGCCAACACTGATCTCAGGAGCCTTTCGAGAATTATCCTCTAGTAGAAGGCTATCAGAATGATTTCATCAGATTTAAATCTGAGAGATATGAAAAATGGGGCCATCCTTTTAGCAATAGAAGCAAGAATTAGATTATTAGGTAAAACTTTTAGCTGTTCAATAATATCATCTAATACAGGGGATACGATATTTCTAAAATACCTAATACTAGTACAAAAAAAAGTATCGTTTGCATGTGGTGCACCCTTAACCTACTTAATTGAATATAATTGGTCAATTATCATAAGTGGTTAACTAAGAAGAACTATATAAGGCATTAGAAGCAAAATTAGAGTAAGAAGCTGGTGTATCAAAAAAAGAGTTTAGACTGAATTTAGTACAAGACATAAGAAAAATAAATGTTCAAAGCTGAACAAGTTATGAAAGCATATGAATTATGGACATCAACTCCAAAAGGAAAGTGATGTTCCATATAAATTAAATTCAGTAAAGACAGTATGGATCCCAAAACAGTTAGCCATACTTTGGGGCGTTAATACATCAATATCACCAATATGTTACCGTTAATTTTTAGGTGTAAGACAAAAGTAAGTACAAGCCGAAAATACCAACACACATTTAGTGACTTAGGATGAAAGGAAAATCAAATTTGGAGACAGAATAAAAGGAGTTATTATAAAAATATCAAAAATTTTTAGAATCAATCCTGATGCAGTTACCACTATTTTCTATTTAATCTAGTTGAGTTTTTTTCCTGTTGCCGAATCTATTCGCATATAAATGATGTTGTTCACAACCTTGCTTTTTCATAATTATATTGTTTGTATGTGCACTCAAGACAAGGAACCAGAATAATTGGAATATAAAATGGTTTATAAAGTATATTTATAGCCTGTTGAAATCAGGATTCTCAACTGCAAATATGAGTCCCTTGATTTTTGGTTGGATGTATCAAAAATAAACTCTAAATTATTGAAAGGATTGTCTTATGTGTTAAGACGAAGTAATTCTTATGGTAGAATTTAGATTAATTCCATGACGTAGGGCTTGAATTTGTTTATCAAATTAAGCCTACTTTATTCATTCTGTAGCATAAATTTTTATATTCAAAAATTTCAGTTCTTCTTTGGGGGTTCATAAAATTCTCCTTTCATAATTTTTTCTACATAAGAATATTATTCTCTCAATTATTTGATCCTATGAAAGTAATATTGTTTTTTTGTAAATTATTGTTAACTGTGTGGGTAGAATTTATTTTTAAACAATTTTAGTTAAGATATTACATTAACTTTGAATTAACCAGACATGTTATATTAATCAGACAAAGTTTAGAAAACCCAATATTATATTAATAAAAATATATATGCCATTCAACATGAGACATTCAACATGGAGCACAAAATTACAACATTAATAACCATCTATTATATTACAACATTTATCAACTGATATCAACATATATGAGAAGGAGTTTAAAATATGTAACATTGATGGATGGTTGGTGTTGAAGGAGTAGCTGGAAGCACCATTTGTACAAGCACTTTAATATCACGAAAATCATGAACAATATTTCAAGTAACACTGTTATTTTACTGAAGAGTGGAGTAAATTTATATTACATTGTAACTCAAATCTAAATGAATATAACAACTTCTATTTTTGTATAATACTTGGGTGAAATCAAAGCACTTCATCCTATCCAGAATAATGGTATAACAACAATTACTACACTTTTAATTTTATGATGCGAAACTAGTGGCTAATTTTAGATGTAAGAGCGCCGCTTCTTTCGAATGCTTGCAGAGCTTAGTATTGTTTGAGATTTTTTTCTAGATTTCAAAGTAATTCTCTTTTAATCTGCATAATTGTGACCTCTAATATTAGTAAATTTTTTGCTTATGTGCTTATGTAATAAACAAGTGTATTAATTTAATAGCTCTAATGGTAGTTGAATAGGATCCATGTCAATAATGGACACTACGATTTCTAGTCTAAGCATATTATTAGAATCAATCTATAATGTTAGAAGTTTCTTAGTGGATCCTATAAAGACAATAGTACTCCATAGAGATTTTAAGGATAACTATTTTCGTGATTTTACATTTTAGATCTGTATAGGACTAAACTATAATTAGGTAGCTCCACTTACTAATGGTAGTAGTATATTCTTGCTTCACTAATTTTCAAAGCTGTCTTTATTGCTCTGTCATCAGTGTATCCGTATATTGCATCAAAGAATTTATTTAGTAATCTGCTCAACATATCAACTATGCTCTATTAGATCTGTTGATCATTCCATATTTAATTTCTCCATTTAGTATCTTAAAACTATCCATTATCAAATATTCTAAGGCTTTCTTAAAAATGAGTAGTCGTGACATGGGTGGTTGCAGCGGAATACTGAATCATGAAATAGTTAATTTGTATAAAGTTAATACAGAAATTCGAAATTGACAGTGGCACTTTAGATTTAAAATACTTTAGTATTTTAACAAATGGCTTAGCATTTGGACAAGGATATGCGCAAATTGAAAAAAACTAACGCAAATAATACATTAAGTGATATAAGTTGCATAGGAAGTCAAGTATGGAGAGTATAACCAACAGAATTCAAGGAGGTACTATTAAAAACATCAAGAAATTGTTAGAATCAATCACTGATGCAATTACAATATTTTCTGCTTATTCGAGTTAAACTGCTTTCCCTGTTTCGAAACCATTTACATACGCCATTTATTTTGTTCAGAAAAAATGATAAAATTAGCGAAGATCTATCATAATGTTATTGCAAGAATGTGCTCTTAAAATAAGGAGCCAAAATCAATCTTATATATAAATTGGTTATAAAAGATATTAATATTCTTGGAGTTAGAGATTAGTACTCTTCGGCTGCAAAATATCAGTGCCTTAATTGTTGTTAGACAATAACAAATATACTTTAATATATTATGTGTTTCGACAAAGAAGCTCTTATAGCATAGATTGTATTAATTTTGCTCTTTAGGGCTTGAATCAGTTTATCAAATTCAAGTCTACTTTATGCATTCAGCAGTTTGAATTTTCAATTCAATCTTCCAGTTCTTCCATGGTGATTAATGAAATTCTCTTTATGAAATTACTTCTACTTAGAAGCAACTACTCTCTATGTGTATCTAGATTAATGTTAACTTCGAACCTCTTGTAGCTTACATCTTGAAGGCCCAACTGATCGAAAAGCTGGTAATTTGAGAGAACTTTTAGGGATTGATTTATTGAATATTTTAAGGACTTAGATGTGATGGAGAAGAAAAGGATGTTGAGAATAAAAATGAATAAAGCCAAGTCTGAAGATCATATTGATTATCACTAGCTGCATTTATTTTTGAAGGTAGAAATATCCTAATTCTGAAGATTGCTCTTCTGGATGTTAAAAAAATGTGTGTAAGGTGATTGTTTATATTGCTTAGAGTTTTATTATAGATACAAGTAAAATGGGAATGAGAGAAATTGAGGGAAAACAACCTTTGTTGAACTTTAGGTTGATATCTAGGATGATGAGAGATTGCGAATGAGGATCTTCTCAATTTCTAAAAAGGATTTTAAAAATAAGTGGGAATATAAATAGACCCAGTAATATGAACCTAATTCAAACTATGATGCTAAATGTAAATTAATAGTAACATCTAAGAGATGTGAAAGTGAGAAAGAATAGGGGTGTACATTATTGATGAATAAAAGGATAAACTGATGAAAGGGAATAATCATGAATGGCTGAGATGATAATCATCATGTTCAGATTGCTTAACTGGAAGATTCACAACTACCTTAATAGAAGATGTGTGTAAATTTGATTAATAAATTAATTGTAGTAGACTTGCAATATACTAAAAGAAGTTTATGACCTAACCCTATTGGAAAAGAAAGTAGGACTACTAATCTTCAGGAACTCTTAATGTTCAATCCTTCTTATATGAAAATTTAAGTATATTAGGTGATGGAAAGTTCGATATTCCAGTATTACACTTTTCATAATTTAGAGTTGAGATTAATGGTTATTAAAGATTACCTTACCTTTCGTTATTAAATTCACACAAAGCTGTTATTGTTATTGCCAAATATTAAGTACCTTATATTTGATACAAGCGAGAAGATGATAGATGCATTTGAAAAATTTCTACTTAAAAGAAACTAACAACTCAGTGATTATAATGGAGTTAAATTTAAAGCAAGCAAGCACCACAATTTAAGGAGATATGATTAGTAAAATCAGACATATTTACAAAAAGGAAATATTATTACTCAAATTAGGATAAACTCTGTAGCAGTAGTATCAGTAAATTAGCATGCAGATGGGATAAGAGTTGATGAAAGGACTCATTCAGTGTTAAGAATTTTTTTTTCATCATTGTATTACTGAATTGTGAATGGGCAGTCGCAAAATTGCAATAAGTTTAGTTACGGTAAGATTTGTAATGATCAATGATAATGACGCCTAAACCTATGTGCATGAAAAGCAGGCAGGTTAAAAGAATACTCATTAAATATAGCCCAGGTGATTTGCAATTAAAACTATGATAAAAGCTTTATGTATGTACAGATACAACAAGCTTTACCAAAATTAACAATGAAGATATCATAAACTCACTACTTATATTAAGTTAATGAAATAATTTGATAGAGCAATATGTGGACTTGTTGGAAAGGAATACTAATAAGCAAGAAGACAATATAAATGAATGTCGAAAGTTAAAGAGACCTCTACATAATTTATTTGGTGTTAGGATGAGTTCACGCTCAAAAAGTCTAACATGAGGAAATTAGATTGCTAGAGGAATTGCTCTCTTATCAGTATTAATTAGTTAATGATACAAGTAGAGCAGGCATATAAATAATTTTAGCTCTAAAGGCTACAATAAATATAACATAAAGTAATTTTATAAATTTTATTGATACAAATTATCATTTGACCAATTTTTGCACTTCAAAACAGAATCCATAATTGTAAAATATTACAGTAGACTCCACTGGATTTATTTAATCGTGAAGTCCTGCAAATTTAGTGTTGCGTTCCTATAAATAACAATAAAAGATATGCAAGCTCTCAAAAATTGTTTTGCTTTTTTTGAAATTGTACCTTTGTAATGGTTTTTCAAACTTGTAATTCAATTATCAAAATCAGCCGCTATAAGCAGAGTAGTGCTATTTTCACTGCTGGATGCACACTATAATAGTATTGCTACCAACATGGCAATAGATCAGAGGAACTAGTTCAATTTAGCCACACAGGTATTGTATAATTGAATTTTAGCATTCAGATTCATCAGATTTATACGGTGTCTATAAAACTGGTTATATCTTGTTAATTAATACACTTTACACAAGTAATAGTAGGCTTATTACCTAAAATAATATGTAAAACTATTGTTGAAATTGAAAATTAAGATTACGAATCAAAAAATATCAGGATAAATAATAGGTAATACAAATGATATCAGCCATCAAACTTTAGTAAGTGAAAGCTCAAAGTAATCAGTAAAAGAAGGAGTCTAATAGTGGTAACATTGATAGATGGCATTACAACAGCAATAAAGTTAGGAAAATGCTTAAACATAACCTAGAAAGGTTGGAGTAATAAATAAAAGTTATAATTTCCACTATCAGAATAATAAAATCACATAATAGGAGGTTAGCCATCTAAACATGATGTGCCTTTGCTCCGATCAACGATAAAGTTATTAGTTAAATGCAATTGGTAACAAATCAAGATGAATATCTACTGGAGTTTTGGATGTATCCAACCCTTTCCACAAAGCATTCTTTAAACTTCGCTAATAGTAGATTTAAATGAGATACAATCATTACTTTTTGAAAATGCTATATTATTTGTATTAGAGAGTATTTTAAGCATTTCTCAGGCATTCCACCTGTTTATAATTTGAGTTTTAAGAGATACACATACTTAAACTATTTCGCTTTGTACCAGTAACATTTACTTTATTAATAAATATGATATACCTTTAAAGTATATCATACTTATAATAGAGATTTTAAGCCTTCAAATTTCAATATGATGTTAATTTTAAAAGCCCTTTACTTATGTAATAAACTTGCAAAACTTGTTTATAAATCATATAATATGATCTTATTTCTTATTGGGAATTTTAGTCGACCGTTGCAGAAATACTATGTGGCACTTGCATTGTTTACTATTTGATCTGAGTAGTAATTATCCTGTACCTACTTAAAATACTAGTGGGAAAATTGACAAATTCATACAAAAGTACTGATGGAAATGCCTGCAAAAGATCTTGAATTAAATAAATTTCAATTATAGCTTTAGCTTGACTTTTCTTTATGAAAAAAACTTCTAATTATGAACTAGTGATAAATATGAGCAAATGGATGAGCTGCTTGTGACTCCTCAGGTCTACAATTAAATAAATACAGTTTCACAAGAATGATGACACATACAATCTACTACGTTTGTAAATAAGGTTCAAATGTTTAAGGTGTGCTTTATTAATTTAGAAAACTGTAGATTTTACATTATTGTATAACTTGTAGTTTACACTTTGGCTACTTCTTTCATTTAATCTAAAGACAATCATGAGAAACTTTCAAATACAAACTAAAACGCATTAGCCAAAATTAATTATTAAATTAACATTTATATCACAGTGACTCGATCTACATTAAGATTATAAAATGCAAAATGATTTGATAGATATTGACATGATTTAAATTGAACCTTGAGCTTACATCAAATATAGCCATATGATCAAACCTATGCACCAGCAAATTAAGTTAAATTCTAATCCTTAAACTTCAAAAGATGTAATTATAGTTGCCTTCAATTTAGTACTTAAAACTCTTCTTATATCAGAAAGTACGTAACAAGTACTTTTTATTTATTGTACACAAAGGAGTGATTATTTTATTAGGCATAAGCACAAAATATAGTAATAATAAAGCGCATGAACTCTATTACTATGTAGCTATTACTAAATTTACGAGTTTTAGAGTGTTCGACAATAATGACAAGTATATTATGAAGTTTCTTAACTGTTGTGTATTGCCTAAGAGAATCTTGCAACTCAACAGATACTTCATGTATTGAGTTAATCGTAATCAGCACGTTAAGCAAGTGATAATTTATTGACTTATAAATAAGTCATGAAGAAAATATAGACCGATATCAAATTCTGAAAAAGCCATCAATAAATTACTGCATTCAACCAATGTAAGCTGCATTGTTCCATCTTAGGAAGCATATATTTATTATATGCTGCTGAGAATGGATATAGTAGCTGATATAATTAGTGGAGTGTTGGGTTTAGTACCAAAATATTAGAGCATAAGTGGAGAAACCAATAGTTGGAAAAATGTCTATACTATAAAATTTTCGGTGGTTTTGAATTTTAATAAGGAAACGATTTCCATTATAAAATGAAATTCGAAATTAATGTAATTAAATAATTAGCACTAAAATTGTAAGAAGGACTCATTAGGAAGATGGATAATTTCAAACTGTATCAAAAACAATAGACGTGAGTAATCGTTCAACTGCTACAAATATTTTTCAAGCAAATAGCAACAGTAGTAACATTAATTGCAAGACTAAACTTTATAATAAATATTTTATTGCTACAATTATAGGTGATGAATAATTGAAGCAATTAGCTTACGAGTCTTAAGTGCCTACAATTATTTTTATACTGAAGAACAATTTAAACTTTAAAAAATATTTCAGTTTCAATCTGATGAAGACAAAATAATATTATTCGCTGCTGAATTAAAACGCATACCATTAATACTACAACATAAGTTCAACAATCACTAAACTCATCAGAAAGCATAGAAGAACAGAATTTAGAATCTAATGGTGCTATAAGCAGCAAAAGTAAGGAACACTTGAAGTTGAGAAAGTAGTACAACTACTATTACATAATGTATGCATAACAATAATATCGTCTCAACAGCATTGACTACGTTAACACAACTAGTAAATAAATTTAAGCAAAAAACATCTCAGCATAAATGGTTGCCTTTCAAATACACCATTTATAAACAATTTCAAATATTAAAGGTGACTGCATCCTATTGATAGAGAGATATCTGATAAATAATTAGGACTTTTAGATATGCATAATGTGCAGCTTGACTGGCAATTCAGTTATTAGGACTTCTACCAAATAATTATTGACAAAAGATAATATATAATTAAACATAACTAATAATATTTAAGTTGGCACAAAAGCATTTCTTGAAGCATTAGAATTAGTTGTACTAATTGTAAGTGGCATAACATAAGCTTGGACTTATTTAAGATAATTTCTATCTGGAGACTCAAATATGTATCAACAATACTAGTTTGCAATTATTTTAATAAAACAAATCATAACAGTAAATGAGTAAAACCTGGATTTAGTTTAGAAAACAAATCAGAAAGCATGGTTATAAATAAGTTATACTTTTAAGGACTTATTGTTATTAAGAAGGTTGATAATAAACTAGATGGATTGCAATTTCCATCATTAAAAATTACATCCATTCACACAATTCAAGAAAGTTGTAGCTAAATTGAGTGACCTGTCATCTAATAATAACTAAATGATTTTTATTTACTACACATAACCAAAAATACACGATAGGAAGAATCTGGATATATTAGTAGAGAGTAGCTAAAAAGTATAGCAGTGAGCAAGCTTTATAGTAACATCAATCAATATTGCAAGGTTGTGTATTGCCCAAAGGATGAACAATAAAAATTCTTGATATAAAGAATACTTCAACGTAATCCATAATGAATTACTAAAATAGCATGCATTGATTGACCAAGTAAAAGATGGAACTTAAGATTTTGTTTCATGTAATTACTCTAAAGGGGATAGTCTGAAGTCAATAAGTAAGTAGAGGAAATTTCTTCTTTTGATGGATAAACAAATATTACATCCTAACTTTTACATTTATTTGAAGAGCAAGTGCATGAAGGAAGTTGTGATAATTCCAATCTGCCAGAGTTTCCAGCAGGATTTTTGGTGTTAATTACCAAAAAAGCGTAACGAAAAGTTAGAACCTGCATATAATCCTCTAAATTATAATAAGATTAGTCAGCATTCAGAACATCACTACAAAAGAAGCATCACATTGTTTGAGCAAAGGAAGAAATTTCCTAATTTAAGGATGGATTACACATGAATGTAATGTAATTAGAAGAGGGAATCTATGTGATTTTAATTGTTATCCCCAATAGGATGAAAAAAAGGTGTAATCCATTCATAAATACTTCCCTATCAACCCTAATTATGCCTAAGGAAACTAATCTAATATCTGATTTAGGTGGTATAAGCACCCCGGAACAAGTCAAGTAAAACAATTGGGCATCAACACCGTAATGGTAGACCGAGGTCTCGACTAGAATGTTGGGATCTAGGGCGAGAATTTTGGGCATCCACAGAAAGTCTTCTGGATTCGCTGTATCGAATTTTAGTCTTCTAGTACACAGGTTAAGAAGCCTACTTTGGGAGGGGGAAAACAAAAGTCACATAAATTTTTGGATTAAAATATACTTGTAAAATTTTTGAAGGTACAATTTTAAATTTATTGAAGTTGAATAATTTTATGCATTGGCTCTTTAGGGTTGCTGTTTTAATTTAGAAACCTTAGAAATTGTGATAAAAAGTTGATAGTTAATTGTTTTGCATTTTTAATCTATGTTTATCAAGAATCCCACTATGCACAAGCCTATGTCAGTTATCACAATCATAATTGGCATTATCATCTTCCCTTAATTAATTTGATTTCTTACTTATGAAAATGTGCAAGATGTTTTTTGATTTTTAGTTAAACTCAAAATAAAGTAATAGAAATTGAATATTATTAACAAAAAAAAGGAAAATGACTCAAAACAAAAACAGTGATATCTTTGAAGTATTATAATGGCTAGTTGATATAGATGGTAAAATATTCAACATAATAATGAAAATGCTCTAAAAGGAGAGAGTTTCTGATTCTCAAAAATTTCTTTCAAACTATAAATATCAACTCAGCTATAGTGAATATTTGTTTTTGTAAGGTAATTTAGTACCTTTTGATAAGTAATGGAAACTAAATGCGGTGAAAAGTTACATTAAGAAAATTACGAATATACTTCAATAAATAGTTTAGCATGACTTTAATAAAATTAATTATTCAGCAAATTTTTCTAAAGAAAATATAGATATACTTATAAAGAAAGTATCAAATTAAAAAAATATTATCCATTTTTTCAGATTTCTAATAAATCTTACAAGTTTAGATGACAGATTCATCTAGAGTGGATCGAATTCTCTTTATTTATTAGTTTTAATGAAGGTTGACTTGAGGGAATAATCGTTTATAAATATTAGAATCAGAAACACTTCACTCTATGGAGCAAATTTAGTGAGATGTGACTTAAGTGGATCTGAAGTTGACAATGTAATTATTAGTGGAATGAATTTGAATGGAGCCAAATTATATAATTGTAAATGGAGGAATTTAGGTTTACATGAGGGTATTGAGTTAAATGGCCATGAGGGTAAAATAAATTAAGTTTGCTTTTCTTCGAATGGTAGGTCATTAGCTTCTTGTAGTGATGATACTACTATTAGGTTATGGGATGTAAAAACAGGAAAAATAAGGGCTGTATTAAAAGGAGAAAGTGAGGTAAAATCTGTATGTTTCTCGCCTAATGATACTATACTAGCTACTTAGCGTGGCAAATTTGTGTATTTAAGGAATCTTAAAACAGAAAAATATATATGGAAGTTAGATGGTCATTCAAGTAAAAAATTTTCAGTTTGTTTCTCTTCTGATAGTACTACATTAGCATTTGGTAATGATGATAACTCCATCTGTTTATGGGATGTTAAGACAGCATAATAAAAAGCCAAATTAGATGGTCATAAAGATTAGGTTAATTAATTCTGTTTCTCTCCTGATGGTACTATCTTAGCATCTGGTAGTGATGATAAGTCTATCTGTTTATGGAATGTAAAGACAGGATAATAAAAAGCCAAATTAGATGGTCATTCAAGTAAAGTTTATTCAGTCTGTTACTCTCCTGATGGTACTACATTAGCATCTGGTAGTGCAGATGAGTCTATCTGTTTATGGGATGTTAAGACAGGATAATAAAAAGCCAAATTAGATGGTCATTCAAATGCAGTTAATTCAATTTGTTACTCTCCTGATGGTACTACATTAGCATCTGGTAGTTGGGATCACTCTATCCGTTTATGGGATGTTAAGACAGGAAAAAAAAAAGCCAAATTTTATGATCAACTCATTAATTTAGTTATATCAATCTGTTTTTCTCCTAATGGTACTACATTAGTATCTTGTGGTGACTCACACTTTAAAAATCGTAACTCTATCCGTTTATGGGATGTTAAGACAGGAGAATAAAAAGCCAAATTAGATGGCCATTCAGGTGGAATTCTATCAGTCTGTTTCTCTCCTGATGGCACTACATTAGCATCCTGTAGTGATGATTAGTCTGTTCGTTTATGGGATGCTTAGACAGGATAGTAAAAAGCAAAATTAGATGGTCATACTAATGATGTTTATTCAGTCTGTTTCTCTCCTGATGGTACGAAATTAGCATCTAGCAGTAGGGATGAATCTATCAGTTTATGGAACTTTGAGACAGGATAACCTATAGCCGCATTGTTTGGCCATTGGAAGAGAATTCCATCAATCTGTTTCTCTCCTGATGGTACTACATTAGCATCGGGTAGTTATAAAGAAATCTTTTTATGGGATGTTAAGACCTTAAAAACAAAAGCCAAATTAGGTGGTCATTTAAATGGAATTCTATCAGTCTGTTTCTCTCCTGATGGTACTTCATTAGCATCTGGTAGCTTAAATAAGTCTATCTGTTTATGGAATGTTAAGACAGGATAATAAAAAGCCAGGTTAGATGGACATATAGATTAGGTTAATTAAGTCTGTTTCTCTCCTGATGGTACTACATTAGCATCTGGTAGTAATGATAAGTCTCTTCGTTTATGGGATGTTAAGACAAGATAATAAAAAGCCAAATTAGATGGTCATTCTGATACAGTTAATTCAATTTGTTACTCTCCTGATGGTACTACATTATCATCTGGTAGTGCTGATAACTCTATCCGTTTATGGGATGTTAAGACTGGATAATAAAAAGCCAAATTAGATGGTCATTCTGGAGCAGTTGCATCGGTCTGTTTCTCTCCTGATGGTATTAAATTAGCATCTTGCGGTGAGGATTCCTCTATTCGTTTATGGGATTTTAAGACAGGACAACAATTTCTACCTTCAGACAATAGCTCCAAAGAAATCTTGTCATAATTTAAATTCCCCATCTTTTCAAATAACAATCTTTCAAAGAGTGGTAATTATTTTTACTAATGTTTAGCTTCTTCTAATATAACTATTCTACGAATTTCTTAACATCTCAATTTAGAAGCTTAAGGAGCTTTAATCCTGAAAGGAGAATTTATCAATTTTTAAGGAGTAGATTTAAAATCATTATTAAAATTAAAAGGAAGTTACATTTTAGAAAGCTAAATTGAAATTGAATAGAAATAACCATAAAATTGATTATTTACAATATACACATTACAAATACATATATAATATCTTTTAACTATTTTTATTTTTTGATAACTAAGTGTTATATGTAAATAGATACTGATTTCATTTGAAAAATCTAAGAGTCAAAAGGATATACTGCACAATTTCTAAAGTTAAACCACTTAAAGGTTAAGGTAGTTACATTGGTTATGAACCTTTTCTCCTCTCAGCAATGCATTCTATTTTCACTTTTCTCTAACAGTAATCTGAAAAGTGGTTCGTAGGGAGATGCATCACAGTATGCCATCTGAGGTAAACAAAAGTTAAGTATTTAAAGTACACCTAGTTGTATAGAAAATTTTAGTAAGAGCAAAGAAAATCTACAATGGAGTAATGATTACTATAGTAACTTACTGTTTGAGCAAATGAAAAGCAATCATAATTTATGGATGGCTTATATATGAAAGTGATGTAGTTAGAAAATTAAAATTGTGTCCTTATCTTTGAATTCCCCAATACGATGAAAAATAGGTCTAATACATCCACAGGTGACCATTCATAATTACTTTCCTCTCAACCCTAATTTATGCCTAAGGAAAAGAACTCTATAAAGATTCTAATTTTTACGTTTAACATAAATGAATGGATTAACTAGAAAAAACTTATATACTGAAATTAGAGAAGGAGACTTTTAATTAAAAATTTTCACCAAAAGGCAGAAGAATTTTTTGTGTTGCCTAAATAAAAAATTTAAAATGTAACAAAACTGTGGTTCGTTAAGATATTTAAAGCTTCCCTACTAGATATAGCATAAGAAATGGTCAAATTTAAATTTACCAACTTCAAAATGAATAAAAGATTAAAACTCACATCCTGAAAAATGGAAAGACTTTCAACATTCAGAAGATTGATACAATATGGGTGGAGGAAAGTCTGGTCTACATATTTATGTTCAAAAATTTGGAAAAATTAACGTATCGAATGAAGAGCTAAATTGGCAACTTCTAAAGGAAACTTGATTATTAGTAAGCCTTTTCAATAGATTAATAATTAATATGTTTAAATTCTATTAAATTTGAAACTTTTCCTATAAAACTCTATTATTAACAATTAAAAATACTAAAATTTGATGAAGATGAATTTATTAGCAAAAATTTTTATGTATAAAGTCTTCTGGCAAGATTGTCTATTTCTAATCTTTCATTTCAACTTATTCAAATTCACCTCCAGACAGATTTCTTAGACTTGTTGACAGCGCCTTCTGTGAAACTTGTGACATCAGCTTTCAACTACATAATTTGACTTTAGAAATCGAATAAAAAAGTTACTTTTGAGCAGTGATTTCCATACAGCTATATTTAATTCTTTTTTTACAAAAAGAAAAGGCTTCATAAACAAAATGCCTGAGAAGTAACCACATAACAATAGAGGAGCTATTCTTTGAAAATACGATTAATTTCTTTAGTTAGGTAAATTTTAACACTCATCCTATCTTTTACTCATTTTTAAAAATTAACACGACTTTTCAATCAAAATATTAAAATTAATATCTTAAAGGTTACAAAATCTCTTAGATTCTTCGTATTGAAATTTATTTCCTTACAACAACGCTTAATTATTGAAGGATATACACGCCTTATGGATGTAAAAGGTATTCCAAAAGATTAATTGGAATTTATTTGAACAACAACATCCAAACTAAGTTAAAAATCTTTTATGACTTTTTAATGATATTCTCAAATTATTCATTTTGTAGCACTGACTGAAGCTTTAGCATAAAAATTATGTTGATTAATGCTCATTATTGCATAACATCCTGAAGAGTAAATGGAAGAAGGTATGCTTGGTATTTATATGTGCATGACTTAATTTATCCACCTATTTACTTTTGTTCCAAGTAACAGTCTATGTAAATAAACAAATTTTCAAGGTGGATCGGAAAACAGAAGAGATTCAATCCTTAATTACCTCAAGGTCTAATTTGTGCATGACATCCTCAATTACAATTAGTTGCATCATTTGAGAACTCAGTTAACAAGCTAAACTGTTAGATGGATTTGTTTTTTCTTCTTGGTTAGTGCAAATATCAAATATACAAGTGCGTGCAGAGTATTTCAAAGTGATCATAATTAGTTATTAGAAATAAAGTTGTTAACTACAATCACAACCATTAACTTCGGAATTTCTTTGACAAAAGAAATATCGAAGAAATAGATAGAGCTAAAGAATAACAAAAATTCTAACTTACCTAGTCAGGTGTTTATGCTTAATTACAATAATTTTTGTAAGTTTTCTCAATTCATACATCCTCGCTAAGGTGCAAGTTTAGTTTGAGTAATATGGTTTTAAATTCTACAATCTTCAATAATTGAAAATTAACATTCTGATGAAATATAAATTCCATCTTTTATTTCAATTTCATCCTCACACATCGATCCAAATCACAAACCTAGCAAATATCATTAAAATCAAATATGTATGGGTTAATTTGCTTTTAACAAAACAGACCAAACCTTTCTTGCATTCAAAGAGAAGTGTTAAAATATCTTCTCATAATTAAAAATATAAAATTTGGATAGCAATCTCTACACAAAATGGTTCTTTACCATCGAATATGAACTAATCATAATACTCATAGAATATTTTTGCTGGACTTCCATTAGGATCCATATAGATATTGTGTATACATACTGGATAATCTTTCCATCCTTTTATATTTTATATATATTCTATACATATTACCCGTCTATTAGAAATACTTGAAGGGCTTTTATAATAATCAGATATTTTACCAGGGATAGCATGAATTATCATACTAAAAGTAACCATTTTGGCAATCATTAGTTTTTTGTAAATCCTCAATATCAAATAATTAATCAGAAAATGATAAGCAATTCTAATTAATTTAATCATCTAAATAGCTATATGGGCAGAATAAGGCTTTATGCCCTGGTATGTATATTCTATGTGATGCTTCAGAACATGATGAACAATCATTATTGGTTGGAGCATGGCAATCCTAACAAGAAAAAATGGCAATTTCGCAGTTATACTTATTATTAACAATTATAATAAATATTATTTCTAGTTTAAATATCCAAATAAATCTAAAATGATTATATTATATTTCCATATTGTATCTAAAATAATAAGTTGCGAAATTATTAGACAGTATGTTACTTAGAATATTCATATCAATTGCATGAGCCAAAAAATTTTATTTAAAAGAAATTTGATTGCAATTTAGATTAACAAATACACTGTGCCAAAGAGTCATTTATTGATATTTTAAAAATCCATCAGTAATCATAATGCTGTTATCACTATAAGTAAAATCTAAAGATCGCTCGTTTTAACTTATCTTTAGTGAGTAGAGAATCAGATAACAAATACATTTTCACCTGGAAAATATGAAAATAATATCCCTGCTTCCATTGACTTTATATTTGAAATTTGTACAATTAACTCCCCCCAATAATTAGTTTTATCTAATTTTATAAAAAAAGAACAGAATTAATTATTTAAAAAAAAAATTGAATTTTCATTACTATTATAAATTCTATTATGTTTCCAGAAGGGTAGTATAATAATTCAAATAAATACCATACATTTTCATATTCAGATTGGTTAATATCTATTTGATATAAATGTTAGTGACCATCTGAAGTAGCAAATGCAACAAACTTTTGTATTGTTTTACTTCAAGGGTTAAGACAATCACAGTAAATGTATTCCAACTTCTCGATGATTTCCCAATTAAACTCTGAAAATGAAAGCAATTTGAATCCAACAATCTAAAAAGTCCTACTTATTATGTTATACCCAAGGATTGTATTTGGACCAAATTCCAAAAAGTATTGCTCCATTCTCAATTGATAAATCATCAACATTTAGAATAATTTCATCTAACTAATATTGCTAACTTATCAAGAACAAGTTTTAGGAATAGAAAATTTGAAATGAAGAAAAGAGATTCAAAATCTGAAATATCTTCATTATTTATTAATCGGTAAAATCTATAAATATAATCAAGAATTATTGTTTAACAAAATGAGATATAACTTGATTGACACACTGGTTCATAAAGTTTCAAAAATGCTTCCATTTTAGTTATTTATTCTAAATTAAATTAACTATTGGTCGCATAATACTAGTAAATAATGGCTATTAAATAATATCAAGAATACTTAACTATTGAAAGCTACAGAAATTATTAGAATTTAATGCTTTATAGTAGAATTAAGTAAATAGTTTTTATTTTTATATAATCTAAATGCTTTCAATTTTTATTCGAAAAATTTAAGCTTTCTCCACTTATATTTTAATATTAAAATCACCAAAAATAATAATAAAATATTTAACACCATAATCCGTTAATTGAATGAATGAATAAAACTTTACATCATATTTTAGAGGCTTCTTGTCTCCATTTTTTAATAAATGTAAATCTGAAATTTTTGTTAATTAGAGGATAATATTGTTTAATTAAGATAATAAATTTCATTGAATTTTATTAGACTAATTTAATTATACTTCCAGTTTTATTTGAATTCTCTTATTATTATTAAACCTAACTCTATTGGTAGAATTACAATAATTAAACGAATGATCAATACTTATCGAGTAAATCTGAACGTTAAATAAATCTCTATAATTCACTAAAAACTAGTGCTTGCTAAAAATATTCGATAAATGAAATACTTTTATTCACATCAAAATATGTATTTAATAAATATTAAACCCTAATATATTTGAAGACAATAAATTTACGAGCAGTTTCTTATTGAAATTATCAATAAAAGTCGCCTTAGAAATGAATAAAAGGATTTTATAACTCAACAACATCTAAATGGCAAAAATTGAAATATATACCATTTATAAATTTAAAATTTATTTAAATAACTGTATAAAGAAATTTTCACTATCTCAAATTAATTTCTTCAATTAAATTATTCAACTAAAATTTAAATTGAGTTTCTGAGTCATAGATCTTTATTATTTTAGAGACAAGGATTTCATTTGTTTACCATCCAAATCAATTTTAAGAAATACAAACTTTGGTAATATTTAATTATGATATATTTTAGTCAAAAGAAGAGCAGCTTTTCCAATTATAAAATAAAATAAATTCTATAAAAATCAACACTCAAGCCGAAAAACTCTTCTTTAAGTATAGTCTAAAATAATTCAGATATCTTGCTATTTAATTAAATTAAAAATACCGTTCACATATTTTTGGAACCTAATCTGAAATTTGCCCATTTGATATCCTCTAAATTTTCTTTTGGAAATATATGAAATTTCCGATGCAATTGTAATTTTGTCCTATTATATTTATTTAAGCAAGTTTGTTTCATCCATTGTATTAAGCTGTTTGTTTAATTTAAGAATGAAGTTAAATAAGAAATACTTAACAACAACATATTTTGTATGCACAATTACAAAAATCCCATAATATGCTTGAAAATCAAATTACTCAAAAATTCTTGATATTGACAGAATGTTTGAATCACATATGATGATTTATTGTATAATAGTTTTATATTTAGAGAAATTAAATATCAGACACATCCTTAAAATAGTTTTAATTCATAAGTGTTCATTATTGGCTTTTATATTTAATGCTAAAATATACTTAAGAAATCAATTTTTCGTTATTATTTATTGTGAAAGTCAATCCATAAAATTAATAATTCACAAAACAAAATCATACTCCTTCCTTAAATCGTAAGGAAGGTCAGTTATTTTAAATGCTTAAAAACTGTTAAGATAAATAATTATCTAAGGACAGCTTAATCTAAAATAAAATTTAGTAAGATATTAAACTTATTTCAGAATATAGATTTTCGATAGCTAGAATAGTGAAGTAAGTTAGAATTTATCGAGGAATAGATGATTCAGATTATTTTGGAGGGTGGATATATCCAAAATTAAATTAAATTTATAAAAAATAAAATAATCAATCTTCTAAAGCTCATTCTCCTTCTTTACCTTTCGGATTGTCAACTTAAGATTAACTTTTCTTCAAGCTAAGTTTTGGACATTTTCAGAAAATCAGCCCCCTATTAACCATGATCTTAGTTGTAAAGGTTCCAGCAAACCTTTAAGTTCAAAATTTTTAAATTCACATTTGGATACTCTTCAGCTTAAGGTCCTAATAAAGAAAGTAATTGGACTTTCGCAAATGCTAAGTTAAAAGCCACAATAGTTTAATTTAAAAACTCTCTAAGTTTAATTCATCTTCTCCTTATAATTTAATTCTTACATTTCTTCAAGATCTCCTAATAAATCATCAGTCACTAACAGAAAATCAATTTAAGAATCATCAAATTCTTGGCATTTATTAATAATAATTGATTAGCAGTACAGCCAGCAATCTTCCTTATCTACTTGTGAGCTCTTATATTAGCTTATTTCAAAATAATGTCAATTTATATCTAATTCCTAAATTAATACAATTGTAGCATTAAAATGTTATCTTCTCATTTATCTTAAATTTCGCCTAGACCTACTATTCTCTTGTCCACATAGTCTAATCAATATCAAGTCCTACTTTAGAGTATATTATAATTTTCAAATAAAACTATTTAAATTACATACTCCCAATAGAGGACAAAGAAGTTGAAGTTTTTGATAATTTTGTTGCTTTGGTTAACAAATTAAGCATTATTATGTGAAGAGTAATTACATAATTGAAATCGGTTTCTTAAGTTTGGTTATAAATGATATAGTTTCTAATCCACAAGTTAATATAAGTAATAATGTGACTCGATAGATCAAAATTTATTATTTTGATTATTAGTTCCAAAAGTTGCCTTTAGTTAATTTAATTCTTAAATGTTAAGAACCAAGTTATCTTCTATAAGTCATAAAATTATTGCTGTGCATTTTTCAACAATTTCTACAATCAAAAATAATAAATAGAAATGAATATAGGAAGAATGTGAATTTATATAATTAATTGATATTTCTTATTATCATTTTGCCAGTTCAGAACTACGAAGAAATGATTTATCATTATGATGCCGCTGCTAACGGAATTGATGGTTAGCATTGTATATTCATTCTTAGGATGGTAAACTTAGACAAGGTCAACTATTTTTGAATTAAATAGTGATATCATTTTATATGGAGGACGTTCTCCTATAATTAGTAGAATTTTCTTAGATTTGAGACCTCATTATCAAGTAGAAGAATTTTGGTTGTAATAATGTTTTTATTAAAAATAAAAATGACTTAATAATAGCTGGAGGCATAACTGTGTATATAGATGAGATGTAGGTATACAGAAACACATATAGTAATGCTTCTTTATCAAGTCTTAATGGACGGACTCCAAACGGTTCATATTTTGACAGTACAATATTACTTCATCAACAAAAAAAAAGTACATCTTCAATTTATATAGAGGTAACGGGCAAAGTATTTATTTTATTGATTTGAGTCACTTTATGGTATTAGAACATTACAATTTTATCTTGAAAGAAGTCTGACAGGATGTGAAGTTTGTGACAATTTTGATTTTTTGGCTTGCAACTAATGGGAACGTTTCATTTTAAGTTTTAATAAATATAAGTTTTCCAGTCTTTAAGGAAGGTCAACAGAATCAAAACGGTTATTCTAAGAAGTTTACATTTGTGCTTAATGTGATTTTCTTAAATATGGTGGAATTATTACTTCCTCATTATGGAGTGATGTTGAGATTTTTTTGGNTAGCAATCTTCCTTATCTACTTGTGAGCTCTTATATTAGCTTATTTCAAAATAATGTCAATTTATATCTAATTCCTAAATTAATACAATTGTAGCATTAAAATGTTATCTTCTCATTTATCTTAAATTTCGCCTAGACCTACTATTCTCTTGTCCACATAGTCTAATCAATATCAAGTCCTACTTTAGAGTATATTATAATTTTCAAATAAAACTATTTAAATTACATACTCCCAATAGAGGACAAAGAAGTTGAAGTTTTTGATAATTTTGTTGCTTTGGTTAACAAATTAAGCATTATTATGTGAAGAGTAATTACATAATTGAAATCGGTTTCTTAAGTTTGGTTATAAATGATATAGTTTCTAATCCACAAGTTAATATAAGTAATAATGTGACTCGATAGATCAAAATTTATTATTTTGATTATTAGTTCCAAAAGTTGCCTTTAGTTAATTTAATTCTTAAATGTTAAGAACCAAGTTATCTTCTATAAGTCATAAAATTATTGCTGTGCATTTTTCAACAATTTCTACAATCAAAAATAATAAATAGAAATGAATATAGGAAGAATGTGAATTTATATAATTAATTGATATTTCTTATTATCATTTTGCCAGTTCAGAACTACGAAGAAATGATTTATCATTATGATGCCGCTGCTAACGGAATTGATGGTTAGCATTGTATATTCATTCTTAGGATGGTAAACTTAGACAAGGTCAACTATTTTTGAATTAAATAGTGATATCATTTTATATGGAGGACGTTCTCCTATAATTAGTAGAATTTTCTTAGATTTGAGACCTCATTATCAAGTAGAAGAATTTTGGTTGTAATAATGTTTTTATTAAAAATAAAAATGACTTAATAATAGCTGGAGGCATAACTGTGTATATAGATGAGATGTAGGTATACAGAAACACATATAGTAATGCTTCTTTATCAAGTCTTAATGGACGGACTCCAAACGGTTCATATTTTGACAGTACAATATTACTTCATCAACAAAAAAAAAGTACATCTTCAATTTATATAGAGGTAACGGGCAAAGTATTTATTTTATTGATTTGAGTCACTTTATGGTATTAGAACATTACAATTTTATCTTGAAAGAAGTCTGTCAGGATGTGAAGTTTGTGACAATTTTGATTTTTTGGCTTGCAACTAATGGGAACGTTTCATTTTAAGTTTTAATAAATATAAGTTTTCCAGTCTTTAAGGAAGGTCAACAGAATCAAAACGGTTATTCTAAGAAGTTTACATTTGTGCTTAATGTGATTTTCTTAAATATGGTGGAATTATTACTTCCTCATTATGGAGTGATGTTGAGATTTTTTTGGTTGTTTGATATTGGCTTTTTAAATGTCAAAATCAATGGAGTAAATTATGTCGTGTAATAGACAACACTATTTTATTAGGTACAAGAGATATTGAATTGTATTATTAACCAGATATTATATATTTTGATCCTGAAATTCTTAATTGCTTTTCTGTTATAAATAATTTTTGTATCAGTTGTTTGCTAGGATGGGAATTCGAAGAAATCCAAAATTAATGTCATCCTTTATTCGGTAGTCACATTATTTAAGGAGTTGAAGAATGCGATGACGATGATGAAGATCAAAATGATGGATGTTATTAGTGTTAATTAAAATACGATGTTAATTGTATTAGCTGCGAATTTGGAAAATGTAATAACTGAGATACAGGATATATTTTGTCGGAAAATTAAAACAACTTTCCCTAAAGCTATCATGAAATAATAATCCAATATCCATATAATTTTATTATTTTAGAAGAATAATAATGTATAGAAAGTGAAGTTGGATATTTTTAAGAGAATGGCTAATCTTATCAGCATTGTGGCGATGGGATTTAAATATAAGGACTTGAATAATGTGATGATGGAAATTTAGTTCCTTATGATGGTTGTTTTCATTGCTCATTCTAATGTCCATAAAATTGTATAGTATGTATTGAAGGAGTATGTAATTAATATTGTGAGGAGGGTTTTGAATTCATTGATTAATCTTGCCTATCCATTTGCGGGGATGTACTTATAACAAATTTGGAGGAATGTGAAGATGGTAACAATATCCCATATGATAGTTGCTATTTATGCAAATTTTCATGTCCTTTGAATTGCTTTGAATGTTTAAATGGGTATTATCTATAATGTAACACTATGTATTAATTATTATCAAATCATCAATTTGGCTACATTTAATATTAATATGAGTATAAAGAATGTGATGATCAAAATAATGAAAATGATGGCTGTCATAATTTTAAGATCCAATATTATTGGATTTGAAGAAGACTTAATTAAGTAACCTTCAGCGAGTGCTCATAATTTAAATCTCTAAAATTGATTATTAAATATAATAGATGATTTGGAATATACAATATGTAACACTTACCTTTAGTTAACCTCTTAAAATTGAATCAAATAGATTACTTTTAGAAGCATTTACTTAATTCAATATTGAATTTAACTGAAACCTAATATATCATTAAGGCAATAGTTAGCTAAGAGAATAGCAAAACTATAAATAAGATCGATTATTATTTAGAAATTGAAATTTTATAATTTCTGGAGTTCAAACCCGTCTTAAATATAAATTTATAATAAGAAATTATTTCAATCAAATTTTATAAAGTTCTCTTTGATATATAAACTTTTTTATTGATTTAGTTATTTTTTGCCTGTAAGCAATGGGATTTCATGCCCATTCTGAAAACATACTATCAAACCTTATAGCTTCCTACTTATTTAGATGAAAAATAAACTTATTACTCTGAGATGGCTTAAAAGGTGAATATATATAGTCTTTTTTCATATGGTGGAGTTTGCACACTTTTGATATTTTAGGTAGATATGAAGTTTTAACAGAAATTTTAAACTTCTTATAATTTCAAAATTATCTTATATATGAATGAAACTAAAGAGATACTTATGCATTATTTTGAATCTTACGATTTGTTATCTATTGAAACATCATTTGACTTCATAAAATTTTAGCCATTAGAAAGATTGCTGTTTTACAAAGAATTCAAAAAAGCATCAGGAAATTTCCGATTTTATTAATAAAATGCTGATTTCTTAACTAATCTTCAATGGTAAATAATCCAATCTTCATTTTATATACTTTTGATTTTATTATCGATTCGGACAGAGAAGCTCATTCTCTCTAATTATTTCCAATAAAAGGTATTAGGTTATTTAACATAATAAAAAAATTAGTCAGACAAAGAGATCTCTCCTAAATTATTTTTGTGGCTTTATAAAAGATTTCAATAATTGATTTGGGTTGTAGATCTATTTAGTAAAAATGGATTTAAAATAATATTATTAGTAAATGGATAGGATCTGATATTTAAAGGATTGCTTTACTTGAAATATTTGGAAGATTTTGCCTACAGAGATATCTTCTCTTTAGTACTAGCTTTAGTTCTAATATTTATTTATATTATGTTTATCCTTAATTCAAACAACCTATACCCAACATATAATTTGATTATATATAAAAGGATGAAGGAAAATAGAAGTTTTAAATCTTGGAGTTTCATTATGTTTCATAGGCTTCTTCATTTCTTAGAAAATTTAGAATTTCTATAGTTAGGATTGATTTAGTTAATTTATCTTATGTAATTAGTATTAATTCGCAACTATCGAAAAATTATATGATCATTTGTTGTACAAATGGCAATGTAATGTTCAGTACTAAATATTACTTTAAGCTCTTTAGTATATATATAAGAAGCTGCTAAATATGTTAACGAAGACTTTAAAATAAAATGTGGTTGGTTCCATATATTTCTACTATCCTTTAGTGTATTGATTGAAATATCCTAGATAATATTTGAGTAAATTTAATAATATTTCAAGATGTGTAAAAAAAAACAAAACCGAGGTTAATAAGATTAATTCATGATAAACTTTTGATAAAATATAAATTTGTAATTTAAAAGACAGAATGTATTTCCATTATATTTTTCTTATAACAATCTAAATTATTAACAAGAAACTTTACATATTTTATTGAAAACTTTAACCTAAGCTTCTTTATCACAAAACAGATTCAGCTAAATAGCAGGCACCATCCTTCTTCCAATTCAATCTATTACAAAATAGTAAGAAGATATTTTAAATAAAGTTAGTATAAAATTTGATTTATTTAGAAAGCAGAAATCTTTATTCCACAAGCCAGCCTGAAGTTCATTTGAGATATAATTTTTCCTTAAAATTATGCAGTAAAGTTTGTTTGAAATTGACCAATAATTCTTTATTATTATTGGGAAGAAAATAGTTGATTTCTCTGCTTTTCAAACTTATCAGCTGTCTTTAAACTTGATAGCTTCAACTTAGTACAGGCAAAGTAGCAGGCGTTCTTTTTTAAATAAGAATAAAAAAGTCAAATTTAGACAAGATAGATTTCTAAACTACTTGAAAAATATTGATTGATAAGTGTTTATTAAAAGATTCTAAGATCCATCCTTGTTTAAATAGTATAAGTCAAAATATCTCATTATTTAATAGAGAATAAATATTTGGATTTGGAGAAATACATCGATTAGATACTTAATATTTTTGAATAAATTAATTTTAAGGAGTTAAATTTCAAGTAGCTACTTTATGATCTACAGCTAGTAGAGCTATAATATTTTTAGTCATTAATTACATTTGAAACAAATTATTAATCATAGAAAATTATGTGAGCCTTATAAACTATGATATTACAAATTAACAATTTATATTAGTGATAATAGAATGGATAATTTTATACAAGCTAAATTCAAAAGTAAATCTCGAACCTTTTTAGTAATTTATTTTAAGAATTAGGCAATTGAATTCGAAATTCAAATTATATTTTGCTTATAAATATAAAAATTAAAATGTTAATATTAACTTATTCTAATAAATTTAATAAAACTGCGTAATATCGAACCATAGTTTCAGTATAACTAATTCATGAGATTTTTAACAAGATTTATCTCGATCCTTAAGGCCTTTTAATTATTATGTTCTAATAATTATCAATCTTGATATAAGTTTAAGGAATAAAAGAACATATTACACTTAAAAAGATTTTTTAATTCTTGTGAGAACTTCTAAATATCTATAAATTATTTAAATAATTGGAAGCAAAAAGAAGTAAATTATTAATATATCCTTCAAATTTACTAGAAATATTATTTAAATTAAAATATTTCAAGGGTTTGGGTTTGGGTTTGGGTTTGGGTTT